TTTGCGGCCGGAGCTGGTCGTAACCCGAAAAGTTCGTTAACAGAGGTGTTCGTAACCTGAGGTACCACTGTAGTCTCTGTCAAATATCCAAGTAGGGGAAAATATTTGAAATCTGTTTTATAAATCCATTTTTTTTTAGAACTGACCTGCTGAAACATTTTTCCCTAATACTGCTTACATCCTAGAAAGGGCTCATATAATCCATTCATATGTATAATTACAATGACAGTAATGAGAAAATGCTTGTAGAAAAGCATGAGCCACTGTGGTTCTGTGAAAAAGCATTCTCCCTTTCCTTTTTTCCTGTAAAAAAACATTCTCTCTTCAGATCTTCTAAATTCTTGCATTTTTGCCACAGAATGTTTCAGAGCTTCATATGGATCCTACTAATATATAAGGACACCTAAGTAAACAAATACAACAGAGTGTGATCCTTGTTTCATTATTTCATAGACTAAGTCACCCAGCATGCAGTGTGAAGAAGTAATTCAATCAAATTAAAGGGATAATTAGGACTAATTATGTGAGTACTTAATTAAATACTCAGGATTGATTTGGACCAGCCCTGCTCTATATACATTTCACAAACTGATTTGTTTTATCAGAGTGAAGTTTTCACCACATATATTCTAGGGCAGTGTTTCTCAAACTTTCTGCATAAAATGCTTAAAAAATATGGGGACCAACCAATTATACAAACAACCCTCCCTACATTTTTATCTTTAAGAACATGGGAGATCTATATTTTTCTGTGAATAAGATCATGATTATAGTTACATATGCGTATATCCTCCCGTTTGCTCCATTTTAAAGACCTTTGTAAAATAAACTGTGTAACAAAAATGATACAATACAAAGTATTTAGTTACCACTTGATTAACTTTATGCAACCCGTACCATAATAACAACCATTCTCCACACAAACATGTTGGTCAAGAATGTTCTTCACTAGAAGTCTCTTTGAGTATTGAGTGGTTAGGAGCAAGTGGATTTCCAACCAAATGAAATTCTATTTTTAGATACTCATTGTTATATTTTCTGTTTCCACTTTTCAGATTTCTTGTGTGAGATCATTTTGCTTAGCCTAGCACATGTGGACTCATAATTGCCCTCAAGACTTGTACACTATTGTAATCTTCCTGAATGTTAATACTCACAAATGATAATACAAGTAGCAGTGTATACTTTAATTAACCAGTTTTTCAGCCATTGATCCGTTTTTGCAAACCAGCTGACTCGCAGTAAATCTGGTCAACCACTTGGTGTGCCTGTGCAGATCATCTATGTTCTGTGGATCAGTTTGAGAATTACTGTTTTAAGATAAACTGTTCTGTAATGATTTATTTTAATTGTAAATTATTTGATTCGTTATGTTTAATCCATAGTTTATTACGTAGTCAAGCAGTATAGTCTACTAAAAGTAAAATATTTAAAAGTGGATCAAAAATAGATGAAACATCTTCATCTAGTCCTTTTCAGTTATGTTTACTAGTGGGTTTTGACAACATTGTATAAGATTTTAACGTTTTTATTTTATGTTGGTGACCTTGACTACCCAACAGGTAGAAATGGTAGTGCATAAATTATAAAATATGAATCAGAATGACTAAATGTATTTTGGGGAGTTGCTAAACACGCCTTAATCTGCAAAACGATTGCTTATTTGATGTTAAAAGTTCACTGAGCCATCAAACTGTAGGACAAACAGGAATTGTCAGAGGAGTTTTACAGGTAAATTTCCTCATGTCTGAGAGGGAATTTGAAATGTTGTCTGTCCATATAGCTTTGTGAGTGAGTGGACTGAAGTGGGTCTGTCCTTTTACATACTGAATTGCAAGGAGTGTCCTGGTAAAAGCTTGCTGATTTGTTGATTGTGTGTACTTGGATGATTGCTTCTTGCAGAGCAAACAGAGACTGTATCAGCAATTCTATTGGTTATATAAGCTAGCTGATATCGAGAAAGCAAGCAGATACTGAAAATAAACTGGAGTTTGTTGGCAAGGAATGTCCTTAACAAAATTCTCTATAAGACAAGCCAGAAGTGAGCATTAAAGTTAGATATAAACCATCTGCCAGATTATTACATGAATAAGATGAAATAAGGACCATTACACTGGCAGTCTAGAAATAGCTAATGAACAAGTCTCTTGTGGTAGTGATCTACAAATTATGCATCATGTTTACTTTCCTATCTGAAGATAATGTAGCCCATGTTTGTATCAAGTTATGCTTTTAAAGGAAAAAAAAATACAGAGATATGGAGCAGCAAGTGGCTGTATACCAGCACATAAGAAAGGATGCAGTGTTCTTGAGAGAATAGAAGAAGTAATGCAATAAGAACACCCACAGAGATGACACTGAGGGAGAAATGGGAAGAGAAAAAAGGAGGAAGCCAGCTGTATGGGTGAGAAGAGCAAAAGAATTAGAAGGATGGTGAAATTTCTGAAAATTTTACTTTTGTTATTAAATGTTTATGCTTAGTTACTGCTCCTTTTCTGAAAATTCTGGCACATTCAAAAATGTTTAAAAATTCAGAGATTTTAAGCCACTGAATTAATTTTGTTGTGTACATCACACTTCTTAGCAAAAACAGTTAGTACGTTTTTATAGGAAAAAGTTACTTTGAACATTTTAGAGGGGTGGGGGCATACCTCAATCCCCAGAGAAAGGATTTAAAATAAAAAAAAATTAACTATAGATATCTTTCAACAAGTATAACGTAACATTAATATGATACAACTCCCAGTCCCATTTTTAATGGATTTGTCATGGAACTACCATTAAAAGAAGGGTTATTAAACTGTTTCAGTGTTTAGGGAATAAAGTACTAATGAAACTGCTACTTATTATAAGCAATAACCCTCAAGTATCTGTTTTCAACATGGGACCAAATGGATATTCTAAGAGGATTGCAAGCCAGCATGGCAGTTAGCCAAGTTTTCGATCAACTCTGGGAGTTGCCCAGTCCCAATACTTCTGAAGAGCAATTAATTGGGGAAGGCCAACATAGAAGCAAGTTGTTAACAGAGAGGCACATGTTTAAGAACTATTATGTCCATCCTTCTCTCTATACAAAATAGCACAACGGTAGTTATATCTACACAATCTTGCTTGTACTGATATGTACAATAATTGTGAAGAAAATAATTACTTTTGAGAGCATTAACATTGTGACCTTAAAAGGAGAGCAAAGATCAAAAGATATTTGAGTAATCAAAAGGATTGTTTGATCAGATGTTATGGCATAGTATTAGTATCATGATAGTGGGAAAAACAGTGTCATTGAACTTTTAATAAGTAATGTTCTGTAATGAAATAAAAAGCAATGAAATAATGCATGTTTAGTAAGTAATGAATCTTGTTTTGAAAGTATACATTCTCACATATGAATTATGGGTTCCCACATTGTATTAAACTATGGTTTGTATAACTATAGTTTCCTTAATCACAACCGACTCTGTTTATACAACAGAGCAACCATAAAGATAGCTTATGAACTATCGTGGCTATAAACATAGTAAATCAAAGTCAAACATATTACATTATGGGTTAGGCATTGTGTAAACCAGATCAAAATACCTTTTAAAAATCAAGAAGGTAAATAGAATGGATAAGTCTAAAATGAATAATACAAAAAGAGAGAAATAAACCAACAAAACAGATATTGGATACAAATAGTAGTTTTTGAGAATGTTGAACATTGTTTGAGAAAGTTTATTTTCCATGGTGTACGTGCATGCTAATTTTGGATTGTTTTTGACTACTATCATTTAAAAAAAAATACAAAAACATATTTGATTAGCCAGAGATGAAACTGGAATAAATAATGTACCACATGCAATAGTCATCTTTTCAAAATCTATAGGAAAGACATTTTCTCAATCAGAAACCATTGTTAGACATAGAAAGATAATATTAAATATAACTGTAAAATGTCATATTTTATGTCAGTTACTAGTGGTGTAAAATATAGTTGGACAGAGAATGTATCATCTTCTAGGCAAGCTTGGTAAGAAATGCTCTTGTGAAAATGTTAGACCACATAAATCAGTCAAATATCATGGTGAACAAATGTATAAGCTGTGTAATTAAAATAATTGAAATTATATGTTTGAGAGCATCATACACATACGTTGGTATTTGCTTAACTTTGTTTTTCTTTCCTGATCTTACAGGTTCTTATCTCCCTAATCTGAAACAACTAAAACTGAATGGTAGTGTACTTACATCTGTGAGGTAAGAAATAATAACTCAGAAAGTAAAGTCAGAAGTACTATTCAAGTCTTTTACTACTTATAGCATCTCTTTCTAATTCAGAGAAATTGACTTCACATTTTGTCTTTTGTACATGGGAAAAACTTGATTAATTCTGTTCTTTTAAGTGTAGTGATTTCAGGTTTAAATCTTAAACTCTGCAAATTATATTAGATTAAGGGGAAATGCTGTGT